TTGTAGTTGATTTATAAACGAGTGTGTTATTCTTTTCCGCGCGAGCTCGCGAGTGTCTCCGTCTTTGCCGCAGGCGCGAGTGGAACAGTGAGCGCGAGCGTAACAATATTATATACATACCTCGATTAGCCCTTTCAGCACTTTCTTTATTAATGATAAGGGTGAGAACCTCATTACTTTCGTCGACAATGACTGGAAATTCAACGTATTCACTTTCTGCCATAATCAGAAATAGAATTTTACCGCCAAATAATCGTCGGTGCATCAAACGCTTTACGTCCGAGCTGCGGTAGTCGATGCGCGGTTGATGCGCTGGAGAGGGGGAAAATCTAGGGAAATCTTTGCGCTACCAATGCGCGCATTACATGAAACGGAACGATGGTTGGTGCAGTCTATGCGCATTATGCGTGAAACGGAACGCACCCCTGGTCTCGTCCTGGACGAATGGATATTACGCGCCCCAATCGCCATTTGAATGGGGGGAGATTTCCTTCTTTGATTAATACCATCGTGTCTTCCTTTAGTTGTGGAAAGGGCCTTTTCCATTTTGTGTGCTGTTGTAGTTCCGACAAATATCTTGCTCCATCTCTTTCAAAAATGCTGCTGCAGATTCTGGACCAGCTGCCATCTGGACAACCTGGCAAATGGGTCAAATCGAGATCGGCCATTGAATTTAAAATCTTTCCAATTAGAAAGTGAGCGGGAGTAAGAGAAATGAGATCGTTAGGATCCGTCGACATGGGAGTTAATGGTCGCGAGTTTAATATTGTTTCTATCTGTGTAATCAACGTATAGAATTCCTCGAATGTCAGTGACGAATTGCTTGCAACACGTTTTAAGTGGTGTTTAGTGGACTTTATTCCAGCTTCCCACAAACCTCCGAAATGCGGAGAGTAAGCCGGAATAAAGTGCCAATTGATGCCTATGTCATTGATGCATTCACTTAAGCTTGTTTGCTCCTTTAATAGGAATCGAGCTAGATCATTTAGTTCGCAATTGGCAACGAAATTGGTGCCATCATCTGAGTACACGTGAGCCGGTTTGCCTCGCCTAAATACGAAACGTCTGAGTGCCGAAATAAAGCATTCTGTAGTCAAATCGGAGACCAGCTCTAAATGTATCGCTTTTGTAGCGAAACATATAAATAGGCAAATATAACACTTGTTCGTTTTACAGCCTTTGCCTTTCTTGTCCTTTATCAAGAAAGGACCACCGTAGTCAACCCCTGTGGCATGAAAAGGTTGGGCTACCGAGATTTAGGTAATTCGCCCATTAATGCTTGTGTTTGCTGTGGTCTGTTCCTGAAGCATTTTACGCATTCATGAACAATCTTCTTTGCGAGATTTCTGCCACCGATTATCCAAAACTGTTCGCGTATGAATGCTAACAATGCTTGCGGTGCTGCGTGTAGTAGTCGTATATGCTCTTCCGTAAGAAGTAATTTAGTGAATTAATGCTTTGCTAACAGAACCATAGGATGCTTTTTATTATTAGAAAATTCTGAGTTTCTCAGCCTTCCCCCTACGCGTAAAAGACCTTCATTGTCAAAAAAGGGATTAAGAGAGTTTAACTTCTTGACTGAAGCGATCATGTCTGTCTTATTGTTGCCTTGTAACTGGTTTGGAAAACATTCTTGCTGAGCCATCTTGACTAATGCCTTTAACGCTTCTCTTATTTCTATTGTTGAAAGCGCGTTTACTTTCCGCTCCATTTT